AGAGGAGCCCAACTTGTAAAGGGCCCCCCCCCCCCAAAAACAATATCAGGATATGCTAAATGTGAGTGACACATCTGGCCACACATCAATTGGGACAATATCTATTGGGAAGTATGAATGTTCCTTCTATTGGTCTGTACTTATGATTTACTAAGATCTTAACAAATGTGTAAAAAAGAAAGAAAGATTTCATACTGGCAGAAAAAAAGACATAGGGACAAAGCGACGTGAGAACATGCATGCATAGGGTTTGTAACGGAGGAGGCGTGACAACGGAGTGGGGATCCAAATGCAAGGCTTTATTCCAGAACTAATTCCAAGGTAGTGAGGGTCAGAACACCAGCGAACAACAATAACAGAGGCAAGGCAAAAGGGTAATCCATAAAACAGGCAATTGTCAGAGCAGGCAGCAAGCAATAACAAAAACAAGGTAACAGTCCAGAGTAAAAAAAAAAACAAGAAAACTAGGAACACAGGAAAACACTGAAAGGCTAACCAACATTTAATCACCAGCGAAGACAGAGAGTGTGTGTGCTATTCTTATAGTCCTACTAATATGAGGCAGCTATGAACTGATAATGAGTGCTGATGGGTCCGGGCAAAAGATTATGGGAAATGGAGTCCTGAGTGAATGGCAAGGTACAGAATGGAGTGCACTCCAGCTGGAGAACATGACAGTGTTTACTTATAAACAAATCCAGTTCTGTGGAAATCAGTCTATATTTCTGGTCTTAGGCCTGTCAATCATAGTTACAAAGGGGGAAATTTGTATGGTGCTAGAATGACCAAGTTAATCACACTATGCATGAGGAAACCAACTTTCATTAAAACATTGTTCTGTGATTACATTTCATAAGAACAATACCGTAAAGGCTAGAATACATCACACCATTTTTACCCCGATTTTCAGCCTTTAGCTTCAGGTTATGAATAAATATAACATTAAATCAAATATGTTTCATATTCTAAAGGTGATTTTGGAACATATTCTTTTCATTTCTAACGCTCGTGTCTCTTAGCAACGAGGCGCGTGTTTCTGCAGAGCTTGAGTCTAGTTTGTGGTCCTCAGTCGTTTATGATGCACAGTTTTTCTAACCATTTACCAAGTCGACAAGTGCATAATGCCTAATGTTTTAAAATCTGTTCAGCCTTTGCGTTTACAAACAAAAACCTCTAGATAGATAAATAGATTATTACTGAGCTGTAGTCTGCATTGTCCTCAGCAACGAAAATAGCCAAATGACTGCAATATTCCGATTACTCTGGTATGGCCACACCAATAGCTCTTGCTAAAAAAGTGATTTAAAGTGAGATTAAGTGAACATGTTACAAAGTGTCTATTATTCGTTTTATAATATTCAGATTTCAGACCTTCCGCCAGATTCTTGATAAACAGCGTTCTCTGCTCTGTTTCAGCTTTGTTTGGGGCGACATCTAGTGGCTAAGTACACAACTAGCCTACATGCAATCCTCTCCAAATAAATACAGTAGACATTTTGATTTCATGACACTTTCATCAGATTAAGTTGTGCGTTATTACAGATAACTGTATGTAGCTCAGTGAGTTTGCCTGTGCCTGTTTTCTTTTTGCAAAGCAGTTTGTCCTGGGTTCGATTCTGGGCAATATTCACATACTTTCATTGTCATCTTACTATTGTGCTTGTTGGCCTAAACAACAACAAACAGTTGGTTTGAGTTTCACAACTTTTTAAGAAAAATCTTTAAAAAGAGAGATAAAACACTTCATGCAGACATGAATGGATCCAGATCTGTGTGTGGTAACCAGGTCCTGTCTGTGTGTTATTGCTAGTTGATATTCATGGCAGGTTTCATAAGTCTGGCCTATGTTATCCCCAAAGTCTTTTTGAAAACCCTCTACCGGAAGTTTCTGTTCAATTGTAAGTGTTTTGGAAAAAACAGGGGGCACCCAGATTTGAACCGGGGACCTCTTGATCTGCAGTCAAATGCTCTACCACTGAGCTATACCCCCACCTGCAACAACTCAGCACAGGTGATGCTTTCCTAGGTCAGTCACTCAGGCCTGATGCGTTTATAATGGGTGTGTATACAGGTGTGAGTGTGTGTTTTGTGTTTGTTCTGAGCCTTCTGCTGCAATACCCAGAAATGACTGTAATAATCAGGATTTTGTTTTGTTTCTTTAAATGTGGTTGAGTCCACAAAGTATGAAAATCTGTTAAACAATGATATAATGCCATAGTGTTGCCATATGCTATAGTCCATTTATGACTGTAATTTTTTTTTCAGGTGGGGGCTGGGGCTAGTTGTCACACATTATACCCCATGTAAGATCAGCATTGGTCACTAAATCTTTACTAAAAATAAATAAATTAATAATAAAGACATTTACAAAAACTATCAAATAAATAAATTGCCACCAATAATGCCCAAGAACTGTAAATGTAAATTGTAACCTAACAACAAAATCTGTTAAACAAATGCTACATCCAAAAAAACAAACAAACATAAGTTTATGTAAGGCCTGTTTTTTTTTTACTGTGCAATTAATAGCCTGTATAAATGTAGAACAATTAAATCACATGGCAATTGTCCCTATAAAATTTTGTGACATTTATGAAAAATACTGATGTCCTGAAATAAATATCTGTACACAGTTAATATCTACCTTCATTACACAATTGACATGTACAGTCAGGTCCGGAAGTACTGGGACACTGACTGAGCTTTTGTGCTTTTGCCTTTATACACCACTACAATGGATTTGAAATAAAACAAGCAAGATTTGATTTAAGTGCAGACTTTAAGCTTTAATTCAAGGGGTTGAACAAAAATATAACATTAGGAATTACAACCATTTTTATACACAGCATATATAAAGGGGCTCAAATGTAATTGGACAAATAATTGTAATCATAAATAAAATGTTCATTTTTATGAACATTTTATTTATGAAATATCAAATGTTCATTGTTCATATTTTGTTGAGAATCCTTTGCAGGCAAAGACTGCCGTAAGTCTGGAACTCATGGACATCACCAGAGACTGGGTTTCATCCTTTGTGATGCTTTGCCAGGCCTTTACTGCAGCTGACTTCAGTTGTTGTTTGTTTGGGGGTCTTTCTGCCTTTAGTTTTGTCTTCAGAAAGTGAAATGCATGCTCAATCAGTTTGAGTTTAGGAGATTGACTTGGCCATTGCAGAATATTCAACTTTTTTACCTTCAAAAACTCCGGGGTTGCTTTTGCTGTATGCTTTGGGTCATCGTCCATTTGTACTATGAAGCGCCACCCAATCAACTTTGCTGCATTTGGCTGAATCTGGGCAGATATATCCCTATACACTTCAGAATTCATCCAGCTGCTTCTGTCTTCTGTTACGTCATCACTAAACACCAGTGACCCAGTGCCACTGGAAGCCATGCATGCTCATGCCATCACACCGCTCCACCATGTTTCACAGATGATGTATGCTTTGGATCATGAGCTGTTCCAAGTCTTCTCCATACTTTTTTTCTTCTCGTCATTCTGGTACAGGTTGATCTTAATTTCAGCCGTCCAAAGAATGCTTTTCCATAAGTGGTCTGGCTTTTTTAGATGTTTTTTGGCAAAGTCTAATCTGGCCTTGTTTGCACCTTGTGGTGAACCCTCTGTATTTGCTCTTGTGAAGTCTTCTCTTGATTGTAAACTTTGACAGTGACATGTTGTTGTGCAAGGGTTTTCTTTACCATGGAGAGGATCCTCCGATCATCCACCACTGTTGTCCTCTGTGAACGTCCAGGCTGTTTTATGCTGCTGAGCTCATTAGTGCATTCTTTTTTTTCTCAGAATGTACCAAAGTGTTGATTTGGCTATTCCGAATGTTCCTGCTATCTCTCTGATGGATTTGTTTTGTTTTTGAAGCCTAACAATTGTCTGTTTCACTTGTATGGAAAGATCCTTTGACCGGATGATGTGGGTTCAAAGCAACAGCTTCCAAATGCAAACGGCACACTTAGAATCTTAGAACTCAGGACCTTTTACCTGCTTAATCGATGAAGAAAAAACGAAGGAATAGCCCACATCTGTCCATGAAATGGCTTTTGAGTCAACTGTCCAATTACTTATGGTCCCTTGAAAAAGGGGGAGTTACACATTAAAGAGCTGTAATTCCTTAACCTTTCCTCCAATTGTGATGAGAATACCCTCAAATTAGCTCAGAGTGTGCACTTTAAGCCCATATTCATGTAACCGTAACTTGAATATATTTTGGTCAGCAGCTAAAATAATAAAAATTGTACATGTGTCCAAATATATATGGACCTGGCTGTATATCAATGAATGTATATCAGTGTGGTGCTCGTGCATTTACATGTTTAGCCAACAGCTATAACAAAAATACAGTGCAATTGAAATGTTAGTTCGGAGACAAGACACGTTTGTCTAATAGCCTCTAAACCGGCTTATAGTTACTGAGATGTAGCCATTGTGACGATCCCTGTGTGACAACTAGCCCCACTCTCCCCTACAACGGCAAGATGCAAATGAAAACATATTAAGTGAGCAATACCCACATTTACTGAACTGTGAGTACAGACAGATGTCAATCGGATGAGATAAACGGTCATGTAGGTAGGCTTTTCCTACACTGAAATGCATGTAGTTGCACATATAGCCACCAGATATCGCTCGAACAAAGGGCGACAGAAACGGGCGTAATTCGCGCGTCAATTCGCGTCATTCGCGCGAATGAGGCGAATTCGCGTCTTCCGCGCCGCGCTAAACGCCTCATTCGCGCCGCGAGACCTCCAGACGCGCGTAAACGCGTCTTTACATTGACTTAACATTGAAATCATTCGCGCCAGACGCTCTATTCGCGTTTGGTGTGAACGCAGCATAACGCTAAAGTATTTTTGGCGCATCCGATTCGAAACCGAATCACACTCTGCTTTGGATAGAATTTGAACGACTTGTGTGAAAACGGGTTTACATGAACTAACATCAGCAAAGACGCCACGATGATCAAAGTGTTTAGCTGTGTCAGTATTACTCCAAGTTTGAATATGCTGAACGCACATTATGTAAAAACACTTTGTTATCAGACACTCCCAATATGTCTATCACTAACATCCGCTTGATGATGGTGGGTTTAAAACAGCTCAACCCGAAGATAAACGCAAGATAAGATCAGCTTTCGTCATTTAACTCATTAGCATTCTTTTCGAATGCTGAAGAATTCTAGAAATACTCGCGAGAGAGAGAAAGTCTTCCGCGGAGTGCCCTTGCACGGGCGCGCGCAGCAGGACACAGCGGCAGTGCGCGCGCGCCTTCCGCGTCTGATTGGTTCGCTGACAGTCAGCCAGCGGTGCGAACCGGACTTCATCAACGGACAGCGATCGGTATCAACCCAAGCAGTGCTCTGCGGACCGGCTCCCCGTCGCCGTACAATTCCTCCGAAATGAATCCACTGTGTAGCAGATGTAACCGAGTGGTGTATCCCACGGAAAAAGTGAATTGCCTTGACAAGGTAAGGCTAAGCGAAACTTAGCATTCGCTAGCAAAGCTTAACGTTACACCTCTGGCTGTGAGGATGGGGTATATTATATACATGTATGGATTTGTTTGTGTATAATACAGATTTGTTTTTAAATGTGGCTTAAAAGAACCCGTTTCCGATGACTATTGAGAATGTGGGCAGAGCGGAAACGCGTAACGTTAAGCGAACGGGCTAGCAATGAAAAAGCCTCGATTGTGATAACTTCACAGCACGCTACAAGTTGTCCATCGTTTATTCGTTTTTCTCAGTGCGAATATCGTGTGATATCGACAGAAATGCGCGGCGGGAGTCGTTATTTTTCAAACCAACGCTTGTTCTTGGCCTCGGTCGCGAGGAGGAGGAGGAGGAGGTTTGTTTATGACGTGTCAGTCTGTCCTGTGGGCGACATGGACGGACCCAAAAACCCAAAACAGCCCAAGTCAAGTCAAAAGCTAACGTGGATATTATACTCTTATAACAACAGCCCCAAAACGGGTTCATACGCGCGGCTGGGTTTTTCACGATCTCGCTTTTTGTCATCCAGCCTGGTTTGCAGATGTGCAACTTCTAGGGTGTATAACGTTGAGGCCTGTAAAAAAAACAAAAAAAAAACATGCGATTTTCGGGAAAATGTTACATGCATTGTTGAAATTTCACCCTAACGTTTACATGATGCGCACATCTAGCATGTTTACCAACTGGCCAGAGGAAGTGTTGCTTGTGAAACGTTTTCTATCCAGACCCCACCCCCTCTTAACCCATATCCTTATCGCTCTCGTTTTGAGTGGTGAAATCTTGAGTTTTGAATTGCTTTAGATGCTCCAGAGGGTGGGGTCGCCTTCTTTTATATTCATGCAGCGCAAGTATTTGCGAGGGAGAGAAACTGGGGCGGAGTGATAACGCGTGTAATGGGCGTTAAGAGCACATTAATCGATTGGCCTTGAACGAAGCAGCTTGAGGAATGACTATACAGACCTGTAATGCGTGAATAAAGACGTGCGGTGTATCTAAGATTAAACGTGGGGGCGTTTGATGGCACACCTCCCACAGATGTTGTCACAAACAGCACTGACCGCACACACGTACACCAAGTTAGTTCCCGTTCATTGCCTGGAGGAGAGGCCTCGCGCGCGTAAGTTGCTTCATACTGTCGTTTTGTTGAGGCATGCCGATGCTTCGCTCAGCTTGAAAAGAGGCCAACCATCGCTTGTCATTCTGCTTCAGTGCTTGAGCTCATCAGCTGTCACTCTGGAGAACATCTCAGAAGAACGGCACCCAAAGAGAGGTGGTCTGGGTACTAATGTGTCATTTTAAGAGAGAGTGCCCCCCAAAAATGAATATTAACTCCGTCCTTGTGGTGTTCAATAAGCATAGGATTTTTGGTGTGGCACACAGAAAGAGACGTTTAGCCAAATGACCAGACAGCCCTTTTCCAGACAATAGCTGTAGATAATGAATATCAAGCTTCAAAAAGAAAAAGAAAAACATTTTAAAATATTACCTTAGGTCAGTAAGATTTTTTTTAGTTTGTTAGAAATTATTACTTGTATACAGCTAGGCATTAAATTGATAAAACATGGTAGTAGTAATATTTAAAATGCTACAAAATATTTCCATTAAAAACTTCTTTTGAACTTTCTATTCATCAATGAATCCTAAAAAAAATGTATCACGCTTTTTTTGCACAAAAATATTAAGCAGCCTAATTGTTTTAACTTTGATAATGATAAGAAATGTTTCTTGAGCACTGAATAAGTGTATTAATATGATTTCTGAAGGATCGTGTGAGTAATGATGCTGAACATTCAGCTTCAACAAGTTTATATAGTATAAGAATAAATTAGTTTTTAAAATATATTAAACTAGAAAACAATTATATTAAACAGTAATAATGTTTCACAGTATTACTTTGTATTTACTGTATTTTTGAATAAATAAATGCAACCTCTGTGAGCATAAGATACTTGAAAACATGAAAAAATTGTACTGACCTTTTGAATGGTAGTGTAACTGAATATCAAATCTACACAGTAGTGCATTTATGAGTAAATAGTATTAGAGGGTTTAAAGTAGATGTTTTTAGTATAATGCAAAGATGCTGCCATGCCGAACAGCATGAAATAAAGATCATTGCAGAAAATGTTTGATATCATATACGGTGTGCTACAAATAACCATTGTCACTTTCAAGGACTTGATTGGCAATTTTGCATAATGCTTTGTATTTATCTATCAGTAAAACACTGTGCGCTATACTATTGTAAGCTAATTTTAGTGTGTAGTCTATAGATGGAATATGCCATTAATTATTCCATTGTAATACGTTAGGAATCTCTTATACCTCTCTACAGATCTTCCCTCACGTGCTTCTTCTGGTCTGTTTTCTTATATTTTCCCTGCTTCTTCCCTTCTAAACTGTTAGCAACAGACTAGAGACCTAAAAAAGCATTTTGAAGTACGTGAGTGGAGGTGGGGGGTTAGTTATTTTTGGGTATGAACGGAATCTCTGCTCAAGTCTGTGCTAGCAGCTTCCTCTCCCTGGGAGTGCAGTATAGATGCATAATTTTGTTACTCATGCACTTGTGTTCAAACTACTACATTCCAGCTGACTGGTAAGAAAGTGTTGGATATAGGCCTAGAAAGACAAAAATACCATCTAAATTTTAATGAAAATTATAATAATAAGAACTCAGATAAACCGTATATTGCAGTAGTCGTGTGTTTATAAGTCACGTTGAATCAATGAAAGCAGTTGAATCGGTTACACTTTACTTGAAGGGGTGTGCATAAGACTGACATGACACCTTCATAATCATGACATGACACCTACATAATCATGACACGACACGTGTCATGAATATGAAGGTTTTTTATGCATGTTTATGACAACTGTCATTAAGTGTCATTCGCTCAGTTATGTAATTTTTAATGCAAAGATGACATTGTTTGAGATGTCTTTGTTATGGGCTATGGTTAGGGGTAAGGGTAGGGGTAGGGTTAGGTCAAATAATGTCATATTTGCATTAAAAATGACATAACTGAGCGAATGACACTTAATGACAGTTGTCATAAACATGCATAAAACCTCCTTCATATTCATGACATGTGTCATGTCATGTCATGATTATGAAGGTGTCATGTCAGTCTTATGCACACCCCTTCAAGTAAAGTGTTACCGTAGAATCTTCTGTTTATTCAGCTGCAGCGATAGGCATTTTCTGGGTTTCTTCTGCGAGGCTTATTTGGAGTTTCAGCGCGAGAGCGCCCTCTGGCCTTTGGATGGAGATTTACTGCTGATCACAGAACCGTGCTTCACTGAAAGATATACGCATGACAATCGCAGCTTCTGTCGAATCGCGATCTCGATTCCATTTCGATTTATCGTGCAGCCCTACTCGTGGGCCAGATTTGAGGATCCCTGATCTAAATTATAGGCATTGCAGCATGCATGACTGGCTGCATAGATGGAATGTAGGGTAGCAGGTCAGGTCAGTCCCCCCAGTCCATTTTCAGTGTGTGTGTGGTCTCTTATCACTGAAACACTCCCATGGTCAACATTAACTAAGGAAGCTGGTAATCAAAATCTAGCATAAATTACAACTGCATACTTTATTGTATCGCTATTGAAGGCCAGTATCTCAGTCAGGGTGTTTCCCAGCATTTGTTGTTTAATTGTGGATCATTCTTTGTGTTTTTTCCTTATGTTGCAAGAAGCTGGGAAAATGGTGATGTAACTCAGTTAGTAACCACTTGACAACCAGTGTGATCCAGATGGGTGTATATAAAATGTCTGTGCCTTTAAAACCGATGCATTCACACAGAAAAAAACGTGTCTTTACTTTAAATGGACGTAACTTCAAGTTGCGTTTCTTTTTTGACACTCGAGGTGCCGGTTCCTCTTTTTCTTTCCAAGTGCTTTCAAAGAACAAGCACTCCATTGTTTTTTGTATTTAATCCTGAGAGTGAACTGACTGTGTAACGGCCATAGTGACTGAATTAGCAACGCTGAGGGATCTGAAGGGCTTCATGTCATTTGCTCTTTTTATCTTTCCCAACTCGGTTGCAGACAATTTCCCTATTTCTTTTGCATACACCTCCCAAAACAAACTAGGGGTGTGCGATATTGACAAAAAATTATATCTCGATATTTTATGGGATTTTATCGATAACGATAATTAGACGATATTTTGCGGAGTGTGTTATTGTGCTAGTTCCTTAAGGACTGCCGAAGACAGCTGACTTTTAATGTTTTTAATATTCTTCATATTCTGTGTGGTGGTCAGTTCATACTGATAGAAATTAATCTTTTCCAATAAGTTTAAACTGATTTTTGCATTTTATGGGCATTTTTACCTTTATAAATCCATTTTTCCTAAAAGTGTCCATTATCTTTTGAGTCAAATTCTTACATTTAATCAGGGAATTAGAATAATAAGACATTTGGGCTGTTACCAAGCAAATTAAATCAACACAGAAGCTGCATCTGAAGTGGCATTTAGATGTATTTACACACATGTATTTTGTTTAATGCAAGACATGAATGCATTTAACCTGCAATTACAAATGCATAAATAATGTTTTGATATATTAAACATAAAACGTTGAATACTGATATTTGAAATGATTTAAAACATGAAAAAAAAAGAAAAGAAAGAAAAAGCCGAAATTTGAAATTAAAACCGCCAGCAGGTGGCAGCAAATCACTGTTAATAAGTGAGTCATTGCAATTGAACCAAATAATTTAAACGGTTGATTCATTCAAGAACGAAGCACCGTCATGTTGCTCAGAGACACAAAACAGCGCTGTGGCTGTATTCGGAATGATTTTTGTTGGCGAAATAGAGCAAAAACAAGCAATATGGTGTCTAAAACGTAAGTCTCTTAATTAACTTATTGTTTATTGAATTCAATGTCACATTTGCAATCATGGTAATTTTTGGAGAAAACGTCACTCTTCGTGTGAAATTGAATAACTATATGAAGTGGTATAAATATATAAATTTTCTGCCATGTCTTGAATTTGTGATCATTCTAAATGCATTTTAATAGACTGAATCATGCAGTGAAAGAAAACACACTAAATGCGCACACGCACTAGTCTAGACTTCACGTAATGTATGCGTGTGCTCTGTAGGGGTGTTTTGAATGTTTTTTGCAAAATACTCGAGAATGTCAAATCGCACATCGTTAAAACAACAATTACGATATTATCGCAGACGATATATATCGCACACCCCTAATACAAACACAATTTAAAGCTTTAATCACTCTGTGTCTCTCTCTTTCAGTACTGGCATAAAGGATGCTTTAGCTGTGAAGTCTGTAAGATGACTCTAAACATGAAGAACTACAAAGGCTTTGAGAAGAGACCATACTGCAATGCGTAAGTATCTCTGCTCTGTGAGTTTTGTGTGTTATATGTCTGCTTTTATTATGTGTTAGCTTTTTTGCTACATATTCCTCAAGTTACCATGAAATAAATGGATGCTATTTTATTATGTTTCTATGTCACTGGTGTGTTTTACTTGGAAATATGTCATAATACAAAAATAAATTCAGTCACAGCTTCCGTTTCACTGTGGCTTTAAAGTCACAAGCTGCATCCGGAATTGCATACCATCTAGTAGGTACTGTATTTGTTTTTTTTTTAAACTTACTTCACAACCATTAAAAAAGTACATTTTATTTAGTATGAATAAAATATGGACGTGCTACTTCCGCCATGTTGTTAGTGTCACATGACCTACCAGAGTCAGTTGCAAGTCCTCAAAGCAATAAGCCTAAATCATCCAGGTGATTTTCGTCTATTACGAATATAATATTAGGAATAATTCGGACCTATTATGCTTTTCACATTTTTCATCTACTATGGAAGTAGGCATATTTGGACGCAGCAACCGTCAATTGCCATTTGCAACCCTATTTTAGTTAAGATATTCAACAAGAAAAAAAATCAATATATACACAGGGGTTGATATATTGAGCATTAGCTGGATTATTAAAATGTAGCCAGATAAAATGCAAGGTTTCTAAAACAATGTCGATTTGACAAGTGGCTAACTGTTTCCAGTAACTGGCTTGGCTTAAATGATGTTAGCGGAAAAAAAGAGTCTCTCAAAAGAAGAGGAAGTTAGTACATTTTGAAGATACAAAGATAGACACTGTTGTCTTTTGAATGACGTGCACTGATGAATGTTTCGCAATAAGACAAGAAACATGCATTAAGAAAGCAAACAGAGCCTATTTTGATATAATGTTATACTTTAATTGTTTCTGATTGTCCTTTGTCTCCGTTAGTGTTAGTTGATCGTGGAAAGGTCACGTCTGCGAACACAGTAGCTGACTTGTGCATGCATTCGGTCGAAGGGTATTGAAGGGAAATTCCTATTTTCAAAACAATGACCCATACACGCATACACAAATGAGTTCACTTCTCTGGAATCCACTTCTGATCACTAATAGTCTTGTGAGTCCGATACCTCAGCTATAGCATTCCTGTTGTTAAAAGGTTACCATTCATACTTCAAGTTGCAGTGTTTTAATGCAGACCGCCAGGCCAAGCATGCTGCTTTGACATGGCTAGAGTACGTTTATAAAGTCACGATTAGGGATGTAACGATTCACTCAACTCACGATTCGGTTTGATTCACGGTTTTGATTTCATGATTCGATTCACGTTTTTTTTTTTTTTTTTTTTTTTCCAGAAT